CGGGACCAAATTTCTGGGGATCTGTAGTGCGATCAGGGCCATGGCTGTGGCGTATTGATCGCCGGTGACGTCGTCGCTCCAGTGGCCTTCTTCTTTAACTTGCCCGAGAACTTGATCACGAATTCTAGGGTAGGCAGCTTGCCAGGTCTCTCCTCCTGCATGCCAGTACGCTTGGGTCGAATAGTAGACGCTGTAGAAATAGTATTCTGTTGATTCAGGTTTTCTGTCTTGTTGATTCAGGTACTGAAAACCACGCTCAACGACCTTCTCTTCTGCCATTCCAGCCGTGTAAAGAGCGACCAGCGCCGCTGCCGAGCGAGCGATCTTCGATTCTGCGGCATCGAAAAGACGGTAGCGAAACCCACCATCTGGATTCTGACACCCTTTAATGTAAGTCACAGCCCGATCAATGACTTCTTTGGGAACAGAGATCCCCGCATTCCGCGCAGCTCTTAGCGCCATCATCTGGCAAACTGTTACTGAAATATCAGCATCTTCAGGGACGGGATTGTAACGCCAGCCACCCTGATCGTTTTGTGTTGCAATGATCAGATCGACGGCACGAGCTAGTTTTTCCCGCAAGTCCTTTCGCTGCGACATGCCATAAACTTCAGCGAGAAACATGGTGGCAAAACCGTGACCATACATCGGACCGTGGACCTGTTCATCAGTCTCAACGATGTAACCGCTGACCTGCGAACGACTGAGCAAATAATCAAGACAGCCTGTGACCTGTTTTGAATACTGACCTGCGTTGGGAACGTTGCCATCACACAAAAATGCCATGCCAGCTAAGGCAGTGACACCAACGTTTTGAGAATACTCCCCCTGCCCTCCGAAAGAACCGTCCTCATTCTGCTGCTTTGCTAACCAGGCCAGACCCTGATTGATGACATTCTTCGTCTCATCATCTATTGGTGAAATGTCACCCGTTGTCTCCTGCCCATAGACCTGAGAGTGACTGTGAGCTGGAAGGAGCAGGAGAATCGCAAGAATTGGCAACAGTGATTTACGGGAAGGTTCTTCTAAGTGTTTCGTTCTGATCCGGTTCATGAAGCTTAGATTAAAGGAGATCAGCAACGCATCTTGAGCATTACTGATCCGTAAAAATTTGAACAGGAGTGAACAGAGGAAACGGAGAGATGAATACCTGACCCACCTTGTCACAACTGTAAAGTTATTCAAAGCTGGGACCTGTTGTTGATGTTGCGGCTTCTCACACAATGCAATGAATATTGAAAAATGAAAATAGTAAAATTCAAAATGCCACATCCTCACTTATGTGAACTCGTCAACACGATCCAGAACCTTGAACTCTGCGACAATTCTTTTGACGAGTTCGCCGAGACCATCTCCTGTTACTGCGGAGATCAACAGCACTTCTTTCCCAATTTCCTCGCTGAGTAACTCAGCACAGGCAGGTGCGTCAGGGAGTTCACTTTTTGACACGACTACGAGTTCCGGTCGAGTGTCCATGGTGTCGTCATAGAGTGAAATCTCTTTACGAATCTGGTGATAATTCTCGATGGGATCGGTCTGATCCATGGGAGCCGGTTCGATGAGATGGACGAATAAGCGTGTTCGCTGCACATGTTTCAGAAACTCATGCCCTAACCCGACTCCCGCATGTGCCCCTTCGATCAAACCAGGAATGTCTGCGATGACGAATTGATGGTCATATCCGACCCGGACCATCCCTAAGTTAGGATACTTCGTGGTGAAGGGATAATCTGCGATTTCAGGAGTCGCACGGGAAAGTCGGCTGAGTAATGTGCTTTTGCCGGCGTTAGGCTTCCCGATGAGACCGACATCAGCGATGACTTTCAGTTCCAGCAGGACCGTGCGGATTTCCCCATCTGAGCCCTCTTCAAACTGTCGGGGAGCACGATCGGTCGATGTCGCGAAATGTTTATTCCCTC